GCATTCCTGATTTATTGTTTTAAAATGGTTGTGTTGTGTTTGACACTTCAATGATTTTGGAGTTTGCATTTTCAGAGTAGTGTGGAGTTGCTTCTCCCTGTTGCTGTTGGGGACTATACCGATTTCTTTTGTTCTCTGCATCATACTAAAAATTGTGGGTTCATATTCCGTGGGCCGGAGACTCCTGTTCTAGATAACTGGTGTGTTGATTTAAAAGGCTTTACAAATCAACTAAGTATGTTTTTTCCCTGGAATTAAAAGGTTAAACTTGTTTCGTAGGTATCGGCTGCCTGTTGCCTACCATGGACGAGCATCCTCTGTTGTTATTTCTGGAACAGATATTGTTCGGCCAAGGTGAGAAGTTTTGATGCTAACTGTAAATTTTTCTGTTTGAGTTTGTTTGCTCAAGTAGCTTTTTGAATTATATGCTTTTCTGTAGGTCTTAAGTCTTATGTTTATGAACATATAGAGATATATTACATCAATGTTAGGTTGCTTAACGTAGGAAGCTTTATAATGCATCCCTGTGTCTCTAGCATAAGTTCTTTACTGTGGAAGGAATATGGCTTTTAGTGTCGATCTTCATGTCATGCAAATAGGAACATCTTATGACTGCACCTGACTCTATCTCCCTTTGTGGACATTATTCATTTATTTGCTCTGCATTCTATCTCACAATGTTTTGCCGCTTTGTGCTTATTTATTCAGAGGTCAAGCTCATCCAGCTGGCAGCTCTACACCCTACTTTGGCCCTTCATTAAAGCTAGACTTTGAGTTGGAAATGGTTAGCTTGTTGTCTACACATATCTTCTATGGCCATTTTACTCACTAAAATGCATATGCAAAGTTTTATTTTAAAAATATAAAATTCAGGATTAAACATTGTTTCATTTTCTTCTTTGTGTATTGTTGTTCTAAATGAGTTATCTTGGTACTGGATAACTTTTCATTTTAGATTAAAATCTTGGTTTACTTGCAGGCTACTATTGTTGGACCTGGAAATGAATTGGGAAAGCCTGTGGATATTAACAATGCTGAAGATCACATCTTTGGACTTGTTCTAATGAATGACTGGAGTGGTAGTTTTCCAATTCAATATCTTTTTATTTTATGTTAATGTGCCCAACAATTTATGCTTTACTGATTTGTATTTGGCAGCTCGAGATATTCAGGCATGGGAATATATTCCTCTTGGTCCCTTTCTTGGCAAGAGTTTTGGTAAGATTTTCAATCAATTACTTAATATTTTTCAAGTCCTATTGAAAAAAGCTGGGTTGTGCAGTATATCTGGCAATTGCATGTACCATTTGTTCTGGATAGAAACAAACCATCACCTTACAGTTGTTATATTAAAGTTAACCTTCCTTCATGGTGCTAACTAAAATTATATAGGTACAACAATATCACCTTGGATTGTGACCTTGGAAGCATTAGAACCTTTTGCTTTTGAAGCCCCAAAACAGGTATCTGGTTTCTTTCTTTGGAATTTGACATTATAGGAGCTTATAATTTGGTTGTTCGTGTCTGAACTTCAAATTCACCATGTTTTAATTAATCTATCCACTGAATGCAGGATCCTCCTCCACTTCCATACTTGACTGAAAAAGTATCCAAAAACTACGATATTTCCCTAGAGGTATTTTAGAGAACCTTTATGCATGTACTTGGTATTTCTTCCTCTTGTATCTCGTATTAATGATATTTCGTCATGGTCCTTGTGTACTGTATTTTAATCAAAAATTGTTTCTTGCTGCAAGGTTCACGTAAAACCTGCTGGGCACAAAGATTCAGGAGTGGTGACACGGAGTAATCTAAAGCACTTGTAAGGAATTTCTCTTCAACTAATATTGATAAGTGATAACTCAGTTATTTAATCAATTCCTTGCCATCTCTATCTATATATACATATGTGTGTGTATAGCTTTGGAAGGCAATTGCAATGGCATCATTGATTTGAAAGAAGTGAATGACCTGGAACTTGTTAGTATTATTTTGTACATAATTTGATTTGTGTTCAATGATATATTTCCATTCTATTTGATGTTTGCTTGTCCATGCGTAATAGAAAAACTAAATACTTTGAAACAGTTATCCATAATATATATTCACTTATTCTTGCTCTTTGTAGATATTGGACATTAACCCAACAACTTGCTCACCATACAATCAATGGTTGCAACCTTAGGCCAGGAGATATCCTTGGAACTGGGACAGTTAGTGGTCCTGTAAGATTTCCATACTTTATGCCCTGTTATGCATTCTAACTTTTTGATCCCTATTTTTTTCTTTTACTTTCAAAGAATTGTTCCTTATCGACTGGTCAACTAATTTCAGTTAAAATGTGTGCTTTTCACTGTAGGAGCCAGAGTCCCGTGGATGCTTGCTAGAGTTAACATGGAATGGACAAAACACACTGTCAGTGAATGGGACAAATCGGAAATTTCTTGAAGATGGAGATGAAGTCACCTTAACTGGATATTGCAAGGTTACAATCAATTAAGATCTTCAGTGCCTGTTTTGTGAAAGTGCTGTCATCTTTTCAATTTTTCATGAGAAATTTCATAGCTTTTCAATTTTCCCACTAGTTATTAACTATTTAAATTAAATGAATTTCAGACCTAGAACTATGTTAATTTTTTTTTAATTTCTGTTACTTGTTAATATTTGTTAGTTGTTAATATTAGCTAGTGAGATAGTTAGTTGGTTATTGATATCTGTTAGTTTGATGGGCTGAGATAGAGAATAATTAAGGCAGCTGGTGCATAAATTTGAGGGGAGGTTGAGAGAAAGATCATCTTGTCATTTGTGAGAATTGGGGCCTTTGGGCAATGGGTGTTGGTCAGACTCCACAGATTGAAGAGAGGAACTTTGGGCTAATACTGTTGAACCAGGCAACAGAACTAGATGATGCTATGCAGTTGGTAGTGCGGGCAAAAGTTTTGGGTAGCTTCGAGAAATATGTCTCTGTTTTAGTTACTAAGTTGGACTGTGATGGGTTTAAAAATGCATAAGAATTTTCAACCATATCAGTAGATAAATCGGAAGATTTTGATAATTTTCACCTGTAACGGGTTAGTACTTAGTAGTTTAGACTTTAGAGAGACATGAACGCTCAATTCCATGGCAAAAAAAAAAAAGCCTTCGAAAACAGGGCCTTGAGTTGTTTGTGTTTGACCCAGAAGGGCTTGTGGCTATTTTGGGAATAAAGCAGTTGAGTTGGCTTGACTGTTTTTCTGCAAACAGCTAGAACCTTGGTGAGGACAAGGTGAAGATGCAACTTTAGGGGGGAAGTTTTGTTCGATCTGTTAATACTGTTGGTTGTTGATATTTGTTTGTTAATATTAGCTAGTGGGAGAGTGAGTTAGTTTTTTATGTATGTTAGTTTACTGGCTGAGATGGAGAAGAATTAAGGCAGATTGCCTATAAATCTGAGGGGAGGTTGAGAGAGAGGTGATGTCATATGTGAGAGGATTAGGGCCTATGGGCATTGGGAGAGGCTGACGCTCAATCTTCTGCAGTGCTTACAACAAAATTACTGCTAATTTATTTTCTCAAATGCCTGATTATCCCATTATACACTACACATTTATCATGGAGCAGTTCTTGATCTTTCTAATTTGAAGCTTTTATTTTATGATGGCATAATTATTAATTTTAAAACTTGAATATTTATTAGAAGATGTAAAATTTATGTTTTGCAGGGAAATGGTTACACTATTGGGTTTGGTAACTGCTGGGGCAAGATTGTTCCAGCGGCTCCCTAGGGGCAGTGTTGTTCCATAGTCTTCTCCAATTGTGGTGGGAAGAGTTGTGCAATCAGGGACCAGGCTTCTTTCCACTTAATTGTTATTTTCTCGTGTGTAATTTACTCGCCGTTTAATAAAGTATCTTTGACTTTAGTAAAGCTAGCTTTTGTCAGGAAAGGATCGTATTTTTCTTTTATGTGTTGTACTGTGGATCCAACATTCAATACTCCCACCTACCAACTAGACGTTCTCTTGGGTAATATTTCACGTGATTAGTTATTATAACTTATTATTGCTGCTTATGATACGAGCGCGTCCTAATATAAAAGGAAAATTCTACTGTACCAATTTTTTTTTTTAATTGTAATTACTTGTATTATTTTTATTTTAATTTAATATTATTAATAGTTTATCTTTATAAAATTTTCTATATTTTTATATTATTTTTATATTTTTAAAATTTTATCTTAATATAACATCTATTATAATTAAATAGTTTAATATTAATATTTTGTTAAAACGTTTTAGTTTTTTTTGTGTTAATTTTTTGAATTTATAGTATAAATTAGTTTTTCAGTTGTATTATTTATTATTTTTTTTCTTATTTTAATATTTTTATAATGTTATTATACTTTTTGTTTTTAATTTTTTAATTGTATTACATAAATAAAATTTGTTATAAAAATTGACTTTTTGATTATTTTTTTTAATTAGTCTTTTTGATTGATTCTTCTTCTATAAATTTTTAATCTAAAATTTATGTTATTTTGAATTTATTTCTTTTAAATTTATTTGTTAATATAATTTAAAATATCAAAACTCTTCAATTATTGTGGGTATTATAACAGTTCTTAATATAAAATCATCGTTAATTTTTTTTTTGAAATTGATCCTTTAAATTCTTTAAGAGTCTGAATAGGTAAGAGAATAATATATCATGAATGATCATCGCTTTATAAGTGCCAAGAAAATTGTAATACATACTTTTTTTATAACTTTCATTAAATAATATCAATAATCTTATATTGTCTACAATCATGCTTATTTTATTTTTTTAAACACGTGAAATAAACTTAATCATATTCATATATATATATATATATATATATATATATATATAT